TTAATTATTGATATTGCTGTAGACTATTATTAGTAACAAATATTTTAAATAGTTAAAGAAATAACTACAATTTTATATTTCATTTATGTTGAAAATTTATATTTATAGAAAATAATTTCAAAAACAATAATTATATTAGAGCTAACAATATTGTGTTTAATTTTATTTGTCTAATTGTCTATTTCTTTGTAGAACATATTATTGAAGAAACCACAATTAAATTAATTTTATCTTATTTAATAAACATTCACCCATCTCTAGTATTAATGGATTAATAAAACTTGATAATTTCACTATTAACAAATTGTATAAAAGCATAAATAAATATTTTATTATACAAATATAAATCATAATTTCTTAAATTGTCTTTTTATAAGAATAGTAATTTTATTTTATTATTTAAACATAAATTTGATAATTTACCAGTATTAGTAATTTTTACAATTTTTGTTAAAATTTTATAATATTTTAATCTTGGTCAGCCTAACTATTATACAAAACATAAGTCAAACATTAAACAGTTATAACTTATAAATCATATGAAGTGTAAATAAATTACTTTATTTGTATCCAACTATATTATCTATAATTTTTAAGTTTGATACTTATAATCTAAATTACAAAATTCTTAAATTAAATGATTTGAATAAATCAATTGATAATAATTAGTAATTTTTACTACATAAACAGTTTATATATTAGAGCTATCAATATGTTTTTAAATCTTTTAATTTTAAAAACAATTTATTTGCAATCATAATAAAAAATTGAAAATATAAAATTTATAATTCAATAAAAATAATTCATTGTCAATAAGTAATAGTCATAAAATATGTTAAACTGCATCAACAAAATTATAAATTATTTACTTTTCTCAATTTATTTGCAGTCCAAGTGTTGCCACTCTCGCGGATACTTGTCTTTAATCCATTGGTTACGACTATCGGCGCAATCGATGTCAGTATCGAACACAGCATTCAAAGTATTGTCATTCAAAAACACTTCAAATACATTGCGATTCAAGTATTTCATTGAACCGGACATCAAATGTATATTTGTTTGGCAACCGATCGACTCAAACGCCCGGCTGTCGAACGAGTCTATCAATTGAGGCCTAAAATATATCGCTAAATGTTGTGCCGATGTATTGCAACCGACAGTGAAGGCGTGTTCGGACACGTAATCTATTGGGCTGTTGTAGAATTCCACGGCTCTAAGTGAGGGTAAATTGTCGAACGCGTTGGGATATATCAACTTTAGTGGATTATTGTGCATGGTAACCGAACGCAAATTAGTTAAACCAGATAACATGCGCGTGGGTAGGGTCTTTACACCCGTCCCTACCAGGTACAATGTTTGCAAACCCTTTAACGCGTTGATAGCGCCGAACAAAACCGAGTCATTTGTGGCCGTTTCAGTGACCGGAGCTTTAATATACACGTAGGTTATTGTCGATGCCGTGCCATTAAACGCCTCGTTGTGTATACGCTTTAGATTAATCGCACCGTTGATATAAATCTGGCTAAATTGTAGGCCACTGAACGTGTTGGCCGGCAATTGCTCTATAACTTTGTTACTTAACTCGAGTCGACGAAATTGTTTCTTATCAATGGGTAGCCTATGGCTCAAGTCTTCGAGTGTTGCCTTTATATCAAAGTTTTCGTTTCCCGAGCAAAGAATATCGCAACTTTTTGGAGAATCAAAGTATGAGCATGGTGATTTAATGGGGACATCATCGGGGCAAGTGGCGTATTTGCCATATACGCTGTTAATTGAGACAATTAACGACAATAGAAATGCTGTAAAAATATAAATAATAATATATTTTCTGTTTTATAATTTACATAATATTTTCATACTTATACTCTTAAAATACATGATAATTATATCACTTTAAAAATATAAAATTTTAAATTGCAATTCAATTACTACAATTGTGAATGAATTTTGAAGAAATATATGCTCCGTTTATATTCAATTGATCTGTATTATAATATTTAGTTTACTTTTCGTTAATCAATTTATTCCTGGAAATTGATAAATTAAAAAATTACTTTTAACATTTATTTGTCCAAAAATCAAGTGCAAACAACAACATGTACAGGCGTAGTACATTATTGCATTATTGTAAACTTTATATACCAGGAATGGCATAAGACATGTTTTAGTTAAACTTAAATATTGTACGTTCAACTACATCTAAAATCTAAGTGTATCAGGGACTAACATATCGTACATCAATAATAAAATATATTTGTTCGAGTAGTCTTAACTTGTATAAACTGTATTAAACTATATTTCATTATTTAATACAAGTTCGCGGAATATATTTATTTTACAACTATTATACTAAACATAAAATGAAATTGATACTTTAAATTATTAGTCAATTTTATTAATATCAGGCAAACATTAAATAGTGATAAATTCTAGGAATTGTATATTCAGTATACGAATTTATATCTAACCAACTATATCAATTTTTAAGTGCAATATTTACAAAGTTTTATGTTCTATAAAATTGTGACGGTTCTCGCAGATGTGGGGACACACAGACAGCAAATAAATGTAATAATAATAATAAAATATTACATATTAAATCTATGGATAATGTTTATTCTATCTTTGAGCAATAACCAAATTATATTTAATTTATAGCATTGATGTGTAATCCTAGATTATTGTTACATTGATTTAAAATATTTCACGATTATTGTATATTGTTGATAAATTATAAGATTATTGTTTCCATTTTTTGTAATGATTTCAAATAAAATAGTTTTACAATAAAGTAATTTAATAGATAATTTACTATGATATACTTGTATACTTGTTCTAGATATTATTATAAATATTCTATTTAGATTTATCAAATGATCAATGTATATAAATATAACAGTTATCTTATTAAATGTCTATTATTACACTAGACAACACATTATTTTGGCTATGTTTACTCGGCCTTAAATAGTGACTAACTCAAAACTATAGACAGGAATTGGGTGCTTTCTGGATGCTTTTTCACAGAAAAAAATAATAATTTGTTTAAATTTAAAATGAAAATAAATTAAATGTGTTCAAAGCAATTAATCAAACATTACTAATACCTAAAGTCATGTTCTTCTGTAATTAATGTGCCTAAAAAACATCCAAATCTTGTGCTTACTCAAAACTTAAAAATCTAATAACAACTATGAACAATTGTTATTAACTATAGTCAGACATTTTAAATTAATAAGAATAGTAATTGTATACATTTGATATTTAAACAAATTTTTATAAATTTAGTAGTTTAATCTCTTAGAAATTAAATTATATAATAAATTAATTATTTTTAATATAACTACAGTATGCCTATAAATGTTAATTGTTTCAATTAGCAGTCTAATTAATACAGTATATACATTATATAATTATATTAATAATAGATCATTATGCTCAGACGTTAACATATTAGCTGCAATCCTAGTTTATTTAAATCTCATTTAATCAATAAAATATGTATCTTTTTATTTAATAATTAAATATTAGTATAAATAATTATTATAAATTTTATTTATATTGTTAAATGTTTGGGTTTAATTAGCAATTATATAGTTTATAAAATATATCCAAATTGATTGTTAGTGTATTGACTGCAGTGTTGTATCAATTGGTTGACAGCGATGTCCGCATCACTCGATTCACGCATTGTTTCACAAATATTCACAAATGTTTGTAATTTGCGTAAAACGTAAGTGTCCTGTAATTAATTAAAGATATTAATCATAAAAGCAATAAATTAAAAGTTTTAAATTATATAGAAGTTTAAAAAGTTTAAAAGTTTAGAAAAAGTTTAAAAATTTATATACTTTTGTCAAATCAAAACAATTTGCGTTAAAAGAGTCAACAAGTTGTCGATAACACTGTCTATTATTGAGCTCTTGTTTAGTGTTTAGAATAGCATTGCTATCGACTGTCAGTAAGTGTTGAATACTATTCACATAATCAATTATGTGTTTATCAACATATTGTCTGCCATTCAATAAATTTTTCAAGTCTTCCACATGTCTGTAGAAAATTCAAAAATATAACAAACTTTTTTTAATTAGAAATAAAATAAAATTAACCCTAATTTCTCGTTGGTCTCTGTGGCAGCATTAATACGTTTTTGTACTAAACTCAACTCCACATCCCATTTGCTTACTGTTTCATTATTTTGCACATATGTATTATCACGTTCAAGCAACACATCCTCAGACTTATGACCTAAAAATTCAGCAACGTGCAATTTACCCATGCTTAGATCACCATAATGTTGTGCATGCTGAACTTTCACGGTCTTAGCAACCAAATCATCGTATTGTTGGTCAAGGGTTTCCTTTTCCAGATTGTTTGTCTCGTCATTACTCAACCAAAAATCGGCAAAATATGAACCTGGTAAATACAAATTAATAAATACAATAAACATCATTCCTAAATATAGATAAAAGATAAAATAACACACTTAAATATGTTTTCAATTCATCATCATAATTCAAAAACCAGCTTAATTCATTTGGACGAGATGAAGTGGCCGCGTACACATTAATGTTATTTGGTAGCACTTTATCAAACATTGAGCCTAGTTAATAAATTGGTTATCAATAATTAATAATCTGTTGCTAATTCATTACATTAATATGTATAAAATTTTAATTACCTGAGTCGCAAGTATCAATATAGAAACCGAGCTTGGCGTATTTTTTCTGTTCATGCATGCTCTTTAATGTGTTAATTAAATCATCGACGTGTAAAACTTTGCCATTGTTAAAAGCAACCAAACCTAAATTAAAAAATAATGTTCAATAAATTATAGTCCCCACATAATAATTAAACATTATTTAATCAATTACCTGGTGCACCATGATCGCCAAAATACAGAAACACGTGATCGTTTGGCCCACTCTTGACCACTTTCTTGCCCTTCGCAGCTAATTCTTGATTACCGCTAATTACTTTCAAAAAGTTCTAGATTAAATAAAACAAAAATTATTTATAATTACTAAATTTATTAAATTACAAAAAATAATTAAAATGCTTAAAATACCTCAGGGTTAACTTCGGTGCCAACATAATCTTTAGGAATATCATGGTACAAATTTTCACCACCTTTCTTATTGATCACAACCCCTGGCTTAGGGTTATTCTTGTTGTGTGCGATATCATCGTAATGCATGATAATTATATTGCTCTCCGGTATGCCATAACACCTGAACAAATGGTACCCCCGATATACTAGTGCCTAATTAACATAGGTTAAAAACAAAATTAATATTATATCATTTAATTTAATTACAATTACTGTACTCTACCTGATCGGCATAATTACTCCACCCATTACTCCCGGAGCACAACACAACCCATTTATGGCTATTGTCCACATCATTGGCGGCCAATTGATCGGCAAATGGCAGTCCATTACAAACAGCAATACAAAGCACTGACAAAAGTACAGCAAATTTCATTATATTTATTTTAACAATACTTATTAAATAATAACAATAAAATAATTTTTAATAAATAATAATTTGTGTTTTTCTATTATTATATACTATTTTTGAGATACCTTAAATATACCAGGTACGATTACTCTGATTACAAACATTAACTCTCAAATAGATAATGTAAATTCTTGAAAAAGTTCGTATGATTTTTAAGACAAATATATTATTAAAAAAGCACATGATACTTTATCACTTTGATGCCTAATAGACTAATGGAAAAATATAATTTTTTTAGAAAATTAAAATATATAACAGCTATTATCAAAAGACCACCTGGATGTTTATTTTTGTGATTTTCAAAATTATTGCAATTTAAAATTTGTTATTTAGGCAACTAGTCTTAATAAGTTCAATGGATATTTGTGCCAGATACAATTACACATTTAATAACTGATACATCAACTTGTTTGCAAACATTACGTAAAATTTATTGATAACAATGTCTTTGTTTTAATCACATACCACTTATTATGTCAATACCACCAGTTATTTAACAAGTATGTAATGTTTATGTCATTGCTAATAATTTAAAAATAATATTATCAAGTTCATTGGTTTTTCAAATGTTGATGTCTAATGATTTACTTTACTTAAATTTATAAATAATTTAATAAATATTTTAAAAATGGATTCTATAGTGTCAGATATTTTTAACATTAATAAATACAGTACTACATAATTAAAAATAAGAGTATAATTTATTAAATACCCCGTTGCTTAAACTTTAATTAATAATTAGCGTGATTTTTGATCGACATTAATTCATAACTTATATTAATATAACAATTGATAATGACTTATTATGTATTCATTATTCTTTACAAATACAGGTGTATAATAATAAATAAAATATAATAATAAATAAATCTGTATAAATAACAATTGAAATACTAGAATAAAATCCACATTTAAACCAAATTAATTTTAAAATGTAAAATAAATTATTTATGTGTGCTAGTAAACATAAAATTTAATATCAGAATATTCCACATAAATATTTGACATAACAATATAAATGTAATCTTATAACTGTGCTTAAGTTTTTTACTTTAATGATCGATATAAACTCATGTGGGATATTATTGATAAAGCTCAAAGATTAAGCTCACAGGTTAAAACACTTTTATATTTAATACTAGTTTATAACTATCTTAAATATTTAATCGTTTTAAAGTTCATTAAGCTCGGGGTAATAGCCCATTGCTATATATTTATACTTTAAGCATAACTTTAAAGCAAACAAACACTTGATAAACAATAACAAAGAAGTTTGTGATGGTATATAAGTGGCGACAATTTTTAAATTAAGTTATATCAATTTCAAAACTATTCTTGCAAACATTAAATAAAATAAAGTTATTGTTAATTAATAACAAGATGAAAATAATTGCAGTTTTATCGGTACTGTATATCGCTGTCTGTAATGGACTGCCATTTGCCGATCAATTGGCCGCCAATGATGTGGACAATAGCCACAAATGGGTCGTATTGTGCGCCGGGAGTAGCGGTTGGAGTAATTATGGAGATCAGGTATGTTTGTCTATAATAAAACATAATAAAAACTAAATTGAATATCATAAAAATAAACTTACAATATTCTTATAATAAATACTAGGCTATTGTCTATCGGGCGTACCATCAGTTCCGCGCGTTAGGCATACCGGAGAGCAATATAATTGTCATGCATTACGACGATATCGCTAATAATGCAAGAAATCCAACCCCGGGTAAAGTGGTCAACGAGATCGACGGTCCAGATGTCTACAAAGGTGTGCCCAAAGACTATACCGGTGAGGAGGTTACCCCGAAGGTTAGTATAAAAGTTTAAAATTTTTTAAATATTTAAGTTTGCATGTTTTTAATGTTATTAACTAATAATTATATTTTATTTTTACACAGAACTTTTTAGGAGTAATACAAGGTGATGAGAAATTGGCTGCTCAGGGTAAAAAGGTTGTTAAAAGTGGACCCAACGATCACGTGTTTCTATATTTTGGCGATCATGGTTCAACAGGCAAGCATAATAATTGTGCTAATACTAAAAACATGCTATAATAAGTTTTATTGAAATAGACCTGGTGTGTTTTGCAACCGGTTATTTGTACGCAAAGGACTTAAACGCGGCGCTAAAATCTATGAATGATAATAAACGTTTCTCAAAACTTACCATGTACATTGACACGTGCGATTCTGGTAACATTTAATTAACCAATTATACGTTTAGGAAATAAACATAACTATTTTTTTGACCAGGCTCAATGTTTCACAACCATTTGGCCGACAACATTAACGTGTACGCCACCACCTCATCCAATTACAACGAGCTCAGTTATTTCTACACTTATAGCCCCTTATATAAAACATATATAAGTAATTATAGAATAACCATAACTCGTAATAATATTTAAATATGTTTAATTGTTTGTTTAACCAGGTTCATTCTTTGCCAATAATTGGTTGGATGATGATCGTACTAGCGATTTGACTAAGGAGACTTTTGGTCAACAGTTTCAGTATTTTGCCTCGAAAAGTGAGCTTAATATATCTGGCAGTCACTATTATGTGCATTCTCAACAGTATGGTGATTTAGCTGTTACCAAACTGACCGTTTCCGAGTTTCTAGGTAATTTTGTTTTTAAAGTTTATTAATTTTTAAATTATACTTTAATTAATATCTTATAACAGGGAATAAACCCAAAGTGGATGTCAATAGAAATTACTATAAATCAGTGCAAAACTCGGATGCGGTTAACAAATGGGATGTTTCGCTGGATTTACTGCAAAGACGTGTAAATGAAGAGAAGGATATCAACGAGAAAAATGGGTAATAATTTATATTTAACTAATTTTTATAACAAATAATTTAATTCATGAATAATTTCTTTTCTTAATAGTCTAATGAAAGAGTTGGAAGAGTTATACGCCGGCAGACAATATGTGGACAAACATATGACTGAATACGTGAATAGTATTCAACACTTACTGACAGTCGATAGCAATGCTATTCTAAACACTAAACAAGAGCTCAATAATAGACAGTGTTATCGACAACTTGTGGACACTTATCACCAAAACTGCTTTAATTTGAATCAAGTATACATTTATTTATTTTAATTTATAATAAGATTTATTTAACATATTTATTATCCCATAGAATACATATGTATTACGAAAACTCGGTGTATTTGTAAACCTGTGCGAAAACATAATTGACACAACCGGTATGAATAAAGTAATAGATCAATTGATTCACTCCTGTCAACAACATGATCACAATAAAATTGTTAGTATTGTTTATTAGTTAGATATAATTATTTTTGATTGTTATCTGCATTTGTTACAAATAATAATTTTGAATAAATAAAACTTGATTTTAAAAAATTAAAAATTTATATTTTACTATATTACAATCACATGCTTACACATTGAAACTATAGTATTAAAATTTTAGTAAAAACAAATCAAATGCTAATAATATTATGATGGTATGTTTTGAAACGGTTAAACAGTGTTATCTAGATTAGTAAAGTGACATACAGATAATAATTGCTTTAATTCAATGCCATAATTATAAATTATAATAAAAGAAAATTACATTATTAAGTTTATTTATCCAATTTGCTTTATATGTTGATTTCGTAATTAAATTACAAATATTTTAAAATACAATAATAAAACTTTAAATTTAAAAACTCTAACCATATTGCAATATTAGTAAATACAACTACATTTTATTTGTTTCAAAATCAAGTACAAAACCAAGAAATACACAGGTGTAGTATATTCACCTATAATTTCATTATTTAATACAAGTTAGCGCAACATATTTATATTACAACTATTATGCAAAACAAAATCACGTTGATACTTTAATACTGTTAATCCATGTCATTATTAATTATAAATTATCAGTTACATTTAATAGTGATAAATACCTGGAATTGTAAATAGATAAATTCATGTTTACTTAACTATATCAGTTAAAAAGTTCCATATTTTAAAACTAAATTAAATAGTTGTAATATTTAAACACAAATATAAAACTATACTACACAAAAACTAATATAATATTTATTATATCGTTAATATCATTATAATAATTTAATAGTTAAACAACACAAATAAAATCTATAGGTAATGAACTAATATTAAGTATTTTGTGTTAAACATTAGGGTACTTTACAAAGAAGTGAAATCCAAGCATTTAGTACTGTAAAACCTTACGGGGGTCTCACATGAGAGATAAAACACATCACGATCAGTTACAAAATGTTTGGCACATGGTATGAAATACCTGCTGTTGATAATGAACTTCATTACCTAATCTCAACAAGGTCTTATATATTATAATAGATATATAGATTAATGCAAAGTATATAAGGGGCATCAATTAACTAAAAATTATTAGTTAATAATAAATTTATTTATTGTATTAAAATAACTTACTTTATAATAATGAAAGTAGTATTAATTTTGTCGGTACTGTATATCGTCGTCTGTAACGGACTGCCAACCGCTAGCAATGGCCAGAAATGGGTCGTATTGTGTGCCGGGAGTAGGGGTTGGGGCAATTATGGTGATCAGGTATGTTTAGTCTACACATGAACATGATTTACATTGGCAACTATAAAAATAAAATAATAATCATTATTATTGTAATCAATACTAGGCTATTGTCTACCGGGCGTACCATCTGTTCAAGGCTTATGGCATACCGGAGAGCAATTTAATTGTCATGCATTACGACGATATCGCTAATAATTCGCAAAACCCAACGCCCGGTATTGTAGTCAACGATATCGGCGGACCCGATGTCTATAAGGGTGTCCCCAAAGACTATACCGGCAAAGATGTCAATCCCCAGGTAAATAAAAGCATTATGATACTTTAATATATCTAGACAAAAAATACGAATTAACAATTTTATTTATAACTACTGTATTTATTTATAATAGTAACATGTTGTTGTTTGTTATAGACCTTTTTGAAGGTATTGCAGGGTGATGCTGAATTAGCTGCTGCTGGTAAAAAAGTGGTCAAGAGTGGACCGAATGATCACGTGTTTGTCTATTTTGGTGACCATGGGTCAACCGGTATAATTGAAGTTATTTACTAACTGTATTAGCATCTTATTTATGCTATATTTCGCAAATAGATCTTGTTGCTTTCCCCTCATCCTACTTATACGCTAAGGACTTAAACGCAGTTTTGGTCAAATTGAACGAGGAGAAAAAGTTTGCCCAGCTCACAATCTATTTGGACACATGCGATTCAGGTACGCTAATTGATATTTGCATGTTTGCAACTTTGTAAAAATTAAAACTAACCTATTCATCATATTGTTATAACCAGGCTCAATGTTCCGAAACCATTTGCCCGCCAATGTTAATGTGTACGCATCGACATCATCCGATTACGACGAGCTCAGTTGGTTTTACATCTACGATGATAAATACAAAACTTATATAAGTAATGCAAATACAGAAAAATTGTAATAAGTTTCATTGTTAATTGCAAGCAATTTATTTGACCAGGCTCATTCTTTGCCGACAACTGGCTCGACAATGAGGCACAGTCTGACATTAACACCGAGACATTACAACAACAATACCAGTACCTCAAAGACCACCACACCGTACAGAACCCGCACTCAAACACCACACATGAAATACACGCCCAACAGTACGGAGATCTGAATGTGGCCAAGACCAAAGTGGCTGAGTTTTTGGGTATGTAATATTGGTTTTATATTAATTAATTTAAGTTTTATTAATTAATTTTTGTTTTAAATATCAGGTCTTAAACCCAAAAACGCCGATAGATTTGTGCCACACTTGGGCTCAAACACCGATGCGGTCAACAAATACGATGTGTCCATAGATTTACTACAGAGACGTATTGCCAGCGCTCAGGATATCAATGAGAAAAATAGGTAAATAATTAATTATATTTATAAAATGACACAATAATTATATTTCATTTACTTTTATTTTGCAGTCTTATCGTCGAGTTGGAGGGCTTATACGCCGGCAGACAATATGTTGATAAACACATCAATAATTACGTGAATAGTATTCAACACTTACTGATAGTCGATAACAATGCTATTCTAAACACTAAACAAGAGCTCAATAACGGAGAGTGTTATCGAAAATTTGTCGACACTTTCCACGAAAATTGCTTCAATTTGGGCGAAGTATGTATTGATCAAATTTTTGTGATTAAATGTGGTAATTTGTATAAAAATTAATATATTAATTTTCAACCTAGAACTCCTATGTATTGAGAAAAATGCATGTTTTTGCCAATATATGCGCCAGTATTAGCGAAACACAAATCAATAACGCTGTTGAAAATTTGGTCGAGTCGTGTCAGCAACACTCAGCTAAAACTTTTGAAGCCATTGTTTAAACACTAAAGCTTTGTTGTGATAATTGTTATTAGATTATTATATTATTGTATTTTAATTATTATGTGATTATTAATACAAATTAAATAAATTTATTTTGCAAAACGTATTTTATTGTCAAACTTTTGAAATATAAAAATTAATTAACTATTTTTATATTTTTAAACATTTTATTAATAGCAACCAAGAGCTATTAAATCCTTTTCCTAGTGTTATTGTGAATAAATCACAATTAACAAAATGTTTAACAACTGTTTTTATTAAACAAAACAAAAAAACACAATTTCATTAATTTTAATTTTTTAATTAATATTAATTTATTATTAAAGCATGTTTATGTAAACATATTCTATGAATATAAATAGTTGCACAACATAACCATATGGCATTTTAGTTTATTATAAGTTAGTATTACTAACGAATAACACAAAATACATAATTGTATTAACAAAGTACACGCCATGTTTGTTACGCTATTATTACTATCATTATATTTCATTTCGGTCACCTCATCGGTCAGTCAATTTGACGTACCGCTAGAGATACTAATAAGACGTCTCGAATCGGATAAGGATACCGCCGAAAAATTAGGGTAAGTTTATATCTAGATTTAAATTTTTAATTAGTATTAATTTTTTGTTAATTAAAGTGCGTTGAAAGGCATAGAGGATTTTTTAACCAAAAGACTCTATGTGGATAATAATCTGAAGGATTATCTAGACACAATTAATTTGCTGGTCGGGATTGACACAGAGGCTATACTAAAGGGGAAACACCCGCTTCATCACAGAAAGTGTTACCGAAAATTTGTCAACACTTTTAATGAAAAATGCTTTAATTTGAATAAGGTATTTTCTATATAAATTTACATTATTATAATATTTAATTAAATTTATTTATTTATTACTAACAGAATCCATACGCTCTGAAGAAAATGCAAGTTTTTGTGAATATTTGCGAAACATTGCGCGATTGGAATGACGTGAATATCGCACTCAACCAATTGATATCTTACTGTCACATCAATATTGACCAGAATATGGCCCAAAAGATTCAATAAACTTGTTGCATTGAAGCTAAAAATGTGCATGATCATCACAGCTAAAATCTTATATTAAATTTGAATATATAAAACATTTATATATATTTTGCAAAACATTACACATGCATTATAAATTGATGAGGATCATTTAAATGTTATATTTTTATAAAATCTATCAATATTTAAATTATAACGTTTCAGTATTCTATTAATTTAAATACACATTTATTTAATTCAATGAATAACTGGTCAGTTTTAAAAAAACTAACCTTAAATGGTTCTGGTCAAATCAATATTAGATAGCATATAATTAAAACATTATGTACAATTTTATTTTATTACCAAATTAAATTTTGAATTATATTTGCACATTAAGTTAATTTCTGAATTGCACAATCTGTATTTATTCAATATGATAATTAAGTATCAATATAAACTTTATATTTGTTTGTCACTCATGTACAATACACTTAAGAAGTTAAACATTTCATTAAGTTATTATATATTTATCTAATAGGTTGTTCAAAAATTAATGTTCATTTCGGCCATAACTCAAAAACTAATCAAGATAATTTGAATCTGTCTTCAGATTATAATAGCACCAGCCCATGTCTACATCTCACCAAAAATTTATCAGGATTGATTAATATTTAGAGGGTTTATTTTGAAAAAAACTGACAAAAAAATTGTTGAAAAAAGTTATTGAAATAGGAAAACTTTTTTCTCGTTTGATAAAAGTCATAACTGTCTATGTAATAATGATGCTACACATCTCCTCTATATTCTCAATTAATTATTTTATTTCTATGAGCTGTACTTTTTTTCTAATAAAGGGTAA